CCTATGAACAATAAATCTGAACCTTGCCCTATCCTGTGACATCCTCATCTCTTAATACACTCAAGCCCATTCTTAAATCATTGTGACTTCAAATCTGAGGCTTTATCTCCAGTACTATATCTACCAGTGTTCTTCTATTGTTCATAAGATTTTCAAAAGTCTGTTCTTTGAGGATGTTCAGTCCTGCTTCCTAGTCTGTCTTTGTCTTGGAACTTCCCTGTCCACCATTGGTGACTTTGCTGGTATGTAAAATACTGGTGGTATATCTTCTAGCCTCACAGCCACTTGCAAGTCACTCCAGTACAGCAAACTGACAGACAAATGCTATACTCAAAAGAGTAAATGATACCTCCTTAACTAACAAAGGCATTTAAATGAAGCTTTGTCCCACATACTTAGGGCATGTTGCTAGGAGAAGCTATTCTTTGGTGAAGGACATCATGTTTGGAAAGGTAAAGGGATGGCCAAGGAAAGGCAGACCCTCAACCAGGTGGATTGACAGTGACTGCAGCAAGGGGCTCAAGTATGTCAGATGTGATAAAGGATAGGACAGGGTTCAGATCTGTTGTTCATAGGGTCGCTATGAGTTGTACTCGACTTGATGGCACCTAACAGCAACACTCATTTAAGTACTGCTATTAAAACTAAACTTCGATTTCCTGGCTCTCGTGGGCTGCTGCCTCCAGCACCGCCTCTGGTCCGCTGAGTATCTTCTCCGCCATGCCTGGAGGTCTGCTTCTTGGGGACAAGGCCCCCAGCTTTGAGGCCGAAACCACCGTTGGCCGCATCTGTCTCCACAAGTATCTTGCAAATTCATGGGGCATTCTTTTCTCTCACCCTCGAGATTTTTATCCCAGTTTGCACCATGGAGCTTGGCAGAGCTGCAAAGCCAGCACCAGAATTTGCCAAGAGGAATGCGAAGTTGATTGCCCTTTCAATAGACAGTGTTGAAGACCATCTTGCCTGGAGTAAGGATATCAATGCCTACCAATTGCGAGGAGCCCACTGAAAAATTACCTTTTCCCATCCCTGGTGACAAGAATTGGGACCTTGCCATCGTCTTGGGCATGTTGGACCCAGCAGAGAAGGATGAAAGGGGCAGGCTGGTGACAGTTTGTGTGGTGTTTATTTTTGGTTCTGACGAGAAACTGAAGCTGTCTATCCTCTACCCAGCTACCACTGGAAGGAATTTTGATGAGATTCTCAGAGTAGTTATCTCTCTCCAGCTGACAGCAGAAAAGAAGGTTGCTAACCCAGTCGATTAGAAGGATGGAAATAGTGTGATGGTCCTTCCAACCATTCCTGAAGAGGAAGCCAAAAAACTTTTCGCTAAAGTAGTCTTCACGAATGAGCTCCCATTTGGCAAGAAATACCTCCGCTACACTCCCCAGCCTTGAGTCTGTGTGGTGCTGGAGCGGCTCACTTAGCGGAGTGTGCCAGGGGGCGCCAGCTGCCAATCATGTGTTCCTACAGCAATTCCAGAAAAACGTCCTAGTGTGGTCATAGCTAAGGTCTTTAGGTGCCTCTACTACTTACTGCTTATTAAATGAAAACGACACTCAACATTTCTTAGGATTCTTTACTCTGTGCATTTTCCTGTTGCATTCAAGTATCAGAACACTGTACCTATACTGGACTCGTACCTCATTGGATCTCTACAGGGTTTGTGATCAATTGTTCACTGTCAGTTCATGGTAGATAAGTCTGCCTTCACTTCATGATAGAATGACTGTCAAGTTTTTTAGCTAATTTTATCAAAAACCTCTCCTCCATTATCCATTTTGGGGGGCAAGAGTGAGGTTCAACTTCCTCTGTAAATATCTTAAGTATATATCCCAAAATTTGAGTAACCTGAATATTCTTCAATATTTACCATTTTTACTCTCAAAAATCCATTGCTATCCATTAAGTCAGAACCAACTCATAGCTGACCCTCCAGGAAGAGATTGCCCACCTTTCTCTCTTGGAGCCGATGGTGGATTTGAACCATGAGAGAGGCACTACCTTTGGGTTAGCAGTGCAGCTCTCTACAGACTGTGCCACCAGAGTGCCACTACCTGCAGAGCTGGAAGACTATATTTTCAACCCTGTACTTTTCCAGTACAGCCTGGAAGGGAAGAGCAAAGTAAATATCTTTGTTATAATAAATTTTTTGTGATAAATTCTGTCAAAGTTGGGAGGCTACAGAAAGGACTCCCCTTGTCTGCTGAGGAGGTTTGAGCAGTATGACGAGTGCCACATGCGTTACACACAGTATTTCTGTACGTTAAAAGCACCTTCTGGAAAAGAGGAAGAGATGGAAGATGTTTACTCTAGAACTCTCTTGCAGGGGATGACTATTTTCTGAGTTTTGCTGTTTAGGGATCAGCAAGTCTTTAAACTGGGGGGGAAAAACCCAAAAAAATCCCTTAAACTTCAAACAGTTTGAAAAAAAACAGAAAAGGAAACACTTCCCAACTTATTCTGTAACTGTTGCCCTAATAAAAATATCAAAGGTAAGGCCAGAAAACAACCCAATATGCCTAATATAAGTAGCTGTAAAAATCCTCAACAAAATACTAGAAATCCTAACCCATCAACATTTACAGACTTATACACCATGACTATGTGGATTACTGAAATGCAAAGTTGGCTCAACATGGACAAACAAATTTGATTAGTAGAAATTTAGTGTATGAATAAAATGATTTTTGTGTAAGGATAATAGGATAAGACAGTGTTCAGATGAGTTGTTAATAGGATTGCTATGAGTCAGAGACACTGAACAAAAATAAATGGATCCACATCCAGTGGGTTTAACTAGAACTCTTCCGAGCAGCCACTAGGAGAACAACAAAAATTTTAATGGTCAGAGCCCAAAGGATGTTTAGTATAAAGCTTGAATTGATTTTGCCCTTCAATTTCTTGGCTACTACCTTAGTTACTATCTTAATTTTCTTGTGCACAAATATTAAAAGTAGAGAACTTGGTATGCTGGGGCTAGCAAGTGATGTCATTTTAAAACCTGTTTTCAAGAGTACCTACTACTAGTGATCTGGCTCACCTCCTTGAAGTTCTAGTAAGGACTAATGTTAAATCAATGAAGTAGATTAAAATATCCACATTTTCTTCCTTCTTGATCTCAATCCACATGAAAACACAGGCATGCAGCCCTTGAGATTTTTCTGGCACTTTATTTTTATAAACTTACTAAGAAAACAGGTTCTGGTGCTTTCAGGTTTTATATCTCTAGCACAAGTGGTATCATCCTTCCTCTTACTTGTGACATCTTCATTTCCAGGACAGAAAGTACACATTGCCATGTGCATCTCCCACAGCAAGTTGCAGGGTCGAATCAGGACCCAGCCGAGGTTCCAGGCAGCTCACGGCCCCTTCACAGCGGAACAGGCCCAGCTAAAGGGGGAACAAAATGGAGCAAAGTTGAGGGCTACCGACCTAAAGCCTCTCTGCAAGTTTGTTTTTCTCTTACATTAACGCCTTCTATTTAGAAACTGGTTACTAGAGCATCCTTGCAGGAAGAAACCACGATGCCTTTCCCCCATTTGCTTTCTTCTGACATCCCTCTGGTATGCACTTACCAGCTGCATACTAGGTCTTTCCCATAGCTTAACGTCTCTGTCCTTTGAAGCTGTTACCAGTAACTCAGGTAGCACGTGGAGGGCTATGACAGAGCCAGAGTGGATCTTAGAGAAAAGGGAGAGAAGTATGAGTTCTCAGTGGGCATGCCCAGTTGAGGAAGCACCACAGTCCCTGTGTCAGATGAAGAGCCCCATCCTCCAAACTCACCCTTTCCTCAACCTTACCTTTCTTCACTGATGTGTCCTTAGATGTTGGCATGTTGGCCATATACATGAGTCTGTTTCTGTCTCTGAATTTTGGGTGTCAGAGTTTAGCCACATGTTACCCGTGGTCCATTCTCCTTCAGGGGTGCATCTGGCCATATTCCATAGCATCCCATCAGAACAGGCACACAAAAATGAGGATTCTGCCATCCCAAGAACAGAACTGAAGTCAGGCTAGGTCTCAGGTCTAGACGCATTTACCATTCTCCCAGGGGAAACCCTCTGGTTTCTTGAGTCCTCCCATCAACACTTACCAGATTCAGGTTTGGCCTGAGTTATCCAGATTAGGCCTCCATTAGGATTTTCTAGGTCCAGACTAAACTCTAAGGTATATTCAACCTCTCTTGTGTGTTCGTCTCATATATTTGGACACGTAATGAGGAAGGACCAGTCTCAGTCCCTTGAGACAGACATCATCGTTGGTAAAATAGTTGTTGTTATTAGGTACTGGAGAGTTGAGTATGACTCATAGCAACCCTATGAACAACCAATCTGAAGACTGCCCTATCCTGTGCCATCCTCAGAAATCTCTGACCCACTCAAGCCCATTGCTGCTTTCACCATGTCAACCACCTGGTTGATGGTCTTCATCTCTTTCACCACCTCTCCACTTTCCTAAGCATGATGACTCTTTCCAAAGAATAA